GACTGAGCAAGAAGAGGGGGGGAGAGAAATACAAAGCTAATATTAAGATTTGTTTAATGATTTAAAAAAGAGTTCACTGTCAAAGTCCCAAATTTAAGTTCTAAAGTAATGACATTTCTCTGGCCACCAATCACTGAATTGTATTTTATGCAGGTATAGTACTATTTCAACACAGGGACAGGGAATTTCAAGCCTATATATCAAATCAAGGTGCATCTCCTCACTTCCATGTGATCATCTTCCCAGGATTAATGCTCTGCTGACAGATTTTCCTTCAGCCATGTCAATCAAAGGCTAGATAACACCTGCTTCAATTACAGGGGTGTGTAAATCCATAGAGACAAGAAAGAGGAACTGAAATATTGTCCTTCCTGCCAATGAAAATGGCAAGGAATTTCCCAACACTCTTGCCACCGTTCTTGCATCAGGAATTATGTTTTGTGCAAAAATGCCCCCTTTTGGACAAAATTAGGCAAAACTAGAGAGTATACTGCTTTAATTAAGAATCTGAACCAGCAGCTGGGCTGTTTGCATTTTTTCCAAACAGTCACCTGGCCGGGTGCTTTCTTTATGTTTGTGTACATGCTTTGCTTCTCAAGGGGAAAGAATATTAGTGATGTCTTAAAGAAATTACGAGCGGGGGAATGGTGCTTAACTCTTTGTTTTGCTCTTGGCTGTAACCAAGGCCACTTGTAGGGCTTTAAAACTCATCCTGTTGAGGGTTCCTTGTCCTATCAAAATAGCTTAAATTGACAAGAAAAGGGAACCTTGGTGAAGTACCGTATTTTTCGCTCTATAAGACGCACTTTTCCCCCACAAAACAGGGGGGTGGAAGGTCTGTGCGTCTTATGGAGCTAAGAAAACAGATTATTTTTCCCTGTTTTCTTCTCCTAAAAATTTGGTGCGTCTTATGGAGCGAAAAACACGGTATTCTCTCCATCTCTACAGATTCCACACCACTGCAGAGAAGCCCAGTGGGAACATCTCCACTTAAGACTGCCACCCAAGTATAAAACCACAACCACAAAACCACCAACAGCATACACGCATGTCTCTGTGAAAGACACAAGTGGAGAATATGAGGAGTTAATGTCTACAGAAGTATGTGTAATTGTATATGGCTGCTGAATATACAAGAATGAACACATACTGTTACTGTGAACAGCCCACTGGCCATTTTGAATCTTTTTTACCCCCAGGGATTTATGGACTCCATTTAAGAGTGTGTTCTTACCTAGATCGGGGATCCCCAGCTATCAGATTTCCAAATTCTCCCAAGATGTAGCCACCTACTTTTACCAAATTTTCATGGCAGGCTGGTGCTTGAAGAGCCTGTTGAAAGTGTCATTTGAAGTAAAAAAAAAAACCACAATAAATTCAATAGGCATACACAAAAACATAGTGGGTAAAATCCTATTGCTTAACTTTGTACATGGTGCAACTTAGACTGGGCATAGGTAATGTTCAATTTATACCAATTAAAAACTTCCTATTCTACCGTCTTAGGTTTTAAAGTTCCCTTGTGCTACCTTTTGCCCTGGGGAAGACTTTGGTAGCCTTGAGATGGGGAAAGAATCTTTAAATGTTAAAAAAAAATCTCCACTGGATCAGTGATGGCAGCCCAAGAGGGCGATTTTCAGCTTTTAAAGGCTCCCAAAGACTTCCCTGTGGCAAAAGAGAGTCTCAGAACTTAAAACAGGGGGGCATGAAGCTTTTAATTTGTGAAAGTTAAATGGTTCCAAAGCTCGATCTATGGTGCACCAGGTACGAAGTTATACAACAGGATTTTGCCTAGTATTGTTAAAATATCATCGTTATTGTATTCTGGTACATCACAAGTCACAGTGGTGTCCCAGCACTGATAGGGTCTTGTTATTACGCATGTTCTTATGGTTCCTCCCTCTCCACTAGGGTACACTCAGAACAGGATTGATTTTCAGCTTTTAAAGGCTCCCAAAGACTTCCCTGTGGCAAAAGAGAGTCTCAGAACTTAAAACAGGGGGGCATGAAGCTTTTAATTTGTGAAAGTTAAATGTTTCCAAAGCTCGATCTATGTTGCACCAGGTACAAAGTTATACAACAGGATTTTGCCTAGTATTGTTAAAATATCATCGTTATTGTATTCTGGTACATCACAAGTCACAGTGGTGTCTCAGCACTGATAGGGTCTTGTTATTACACATGTTCTTATGGTTCCTCCTTCTCCACTAGGGTACACTCAGAACAGGACACTCGACTAAATTTGATTACACACAGGGATTACATTACACAAGACAGACAGAGACTCTGATCTCCATATCTGAAGTTAATGATAATTTATTGTCCAACAAATTGGAAACAACTTCCTTATAATTAGGACTGGAATTGGTTCTAATGGAAACATGCATTTCAGTTCACTGGAATCTTTCACCTTTTTATGTCAGCAGATTAGAAGGACATATGGAACATTATTTGCTAACAGTAAAGCAGGCTTACCTCATTGTTTTAGGAGTAATCTTATCCATCTAGAAAGCTCCCACAAAAACAGGGGTCTTGCCATGGAGCTATAGAGTAAGGGTCTATCCCAAGTATATGATTCAGGGAATATAACTACTGTATCTTGACAAAAGAAAAAAGAAAAAAAGAAAAGTGCCCTTGGGAATTGGGAAAGGCAGAATCACTGGGATTGTCATGTCCCTTTCATAGGATCATCTCGCAGCAAAGACAAGAGTACTGAAAGGATCATGAGCTACTGTGGCTAATGCTTCTCCAAATGATGGCACTCATTTTCAGTGCATAAGTAATCTGTAACAGTGAAGTCCTGATAGCAAGAATAGCTAGGATGATTGTTCTTTTATTTCTGTTGTCTGATAATACTACTTATTTGCTATAACCTGCTTTATATCTTCCATGTTTATGCCAAATACTACTTTGGATTATGAAAAGACTTTTTCAAAAACATAGTTATTCAAAATGTCAGAAATAATTTATGAGATTCAAATGGGAGTATTCTGATTTTAATAACACTAATTCATTCTCAGCACCTTTAACTAATATAAAAACAGAGCTACTGATGCAACATTGCAGATTTTCTACTATAATAAACTACAAGGAAGAGCCAACTGGCATGGCTGTCTAAACTCATCCTTTCTCTCCCCCCCCTCTTTTCTGGATAATTGTTTGGCCTTCTGTCAGGTGTTGCATAGAGTGCTATTTGCATACACCAAATGTTCACACACTTGTGTGGAAAAAAATTACTCCATTATTGTAATCATATGCATTCTGCAGGGAAGTCTGCAGTGACAAGAATCACAATATTGCAACAAGTACTATTAAGAAGAACATAAAGCAAGATACAGGGGGAAAGTGTTATCTATCTGACAGAATAATAGCCTGCCAAAATGCGAACAGCACTGGCTAACCACTGGAATACAACCAGACAGGAGCCAATGAAGGTTCAATAGGTAAGATGTTCCATGTTAGTGCTAGAAAGTCTTGTATCATAGCTAATCATGCTCCCACAACAGATGGAAATGAGAGCAAGAACTCTCTGGTTAATTTTAATACATGGGCAGGCTGCTATGAAGGGAGGAGATTCATCAAGCATCCTTGACCCAGGCATTCTAGACCTCTAAATGGCATTCATCACTATTTCAAATTACACCAAAAAGCAAAATATCAAGCAGTGCACACATTACAGGATAACTGTAATATGGTCTGATGGGTGAGCATCCACAGTATGGTATTATGGTTCCATTGCTGACTACTTTAGCTGCCTGTTACAGAGCCAATAAAATTGCTGAAGACTTTTCAGAAGATAGCTCCACATACTCCACATTGGATTCCTGTAATCAAAATGTAATTAAGACAGGCACTGCTCTACCCAGGTTTGATGTCCACAAGAGTAGGCGCAACTGGTATGCCAGCCTAAATTATACAAAGTTGGCATGCCAGCCTAAACCAGTCCAAAACAGATTGAATCTTTATCTCACGTTCCATCTCCTGACTAGAAACACCTATGTTTTATTTGAATTAATTTCCATTTATTCACCCTCATCAGGGCCATTTTTGCTTCAGATGGCAGTTCGTAACACTGATAGCTTCATTCTTTTTAGACAAAAAAGAGAAATAGACATGTTTTGTCAGCATACTGATAAAAGATTCTGAATTTCTGAAAAGTCTCTCTTAGCAGCTCTGTGAATGTTAAATAAGGGGACAGAATCAGTCCCTAAGCAACATCACACACAATGGGCAAGGCACCAAACACATGTTCTCAAATATAACATCTCAAACCAGTTCCCAAAAGACATAAAAATCTTATGAGCATCTAAACAGGGATTGTGACTCTAGATGTTCCTTAGTCCAACAGCTTACCATGAGATTTTTTTGCCTTTTTTAAAACTGAGACAAGGATTTCTCTATCTCATTAAGGGAAAGAAAAAGAAGTTTATAGAACCAACCATATAATCAAGGCAGATTAAAAAACAAATGACAGAACCATGAAAATGTTAGATCATGTTAAGAAAGGTCAAAGATTTGGATCAGAATAATTATTTAACGCTTTTCTTTTTAAATTCTTGAAAAGCACTAATAAAGAAGCTCCCCAACTATTATCATTGCTTACCTCAAAAACAGTCTTTGCTGCATATCCCTGAACATCATCTCTGTTAATTACAATCTGAATTACTCTGTACCACACCTCTTCACTGACATAGTCTCCAGCAATTCGGATCAAATTCAAGATGGTGTCCACATACCAGGTGTAGTCCACTGCATATTTCTCAGCTAGGATTGCAACTTTCAGAACCTGACCAAAAACAAGAAATACTAACTTACAGATGTATTTTAACAACATCTATCCTGGAAAAAGTAAAGCAAAAAGTGAAGTAAAATTAAATAGTAAATAACAGAAAATTTCCGTGTACTCTTGTTTTACCAATATCAGCTAACATAAGCATGTGCCTTATTTGGTACAGTACAATGAAATAGGATATTTTGTATACAGTGAAAATGTTAGATCATGTTAAGAAAGGTCAAAGATTTGGATCAGAATAATTATTTAACGCTTTTCTTTTTAAATTCTTGAAAAGCACTAATAAAGAAGCTCCCCAACTATTATCATTGCTTACCTCAAAAACATTGCTTACCTCAATAAACTGTGGCCTGAACTAGTGAAAGAAGGCTAAAAACACTACAGAAACTTCCTACTTAAATGTAAAGGATATTTTTCCTGTGGTTATTTTGAACACGCAGTTTTAAAAAGCTGGTTCAGAAATGCTGCTATTAGCGTTTAAGATGCAGAGAAATGTGATTTTTTTCTTGATTTGCACAAAAAGGAGACTTGCAACAGTATTAGGACTAATGATTTGAACTAATAGGAAGAACTTGCATATCTGAAGCCGACCATGTACTGATTTCTTCCTCACTGACCATTTATATATAGCCTACACAATCCAGCTATTGCTCTGAATAGCTTCAATTACACACGACTGCATCATTTCAAGTCCTGAGGGGGTAAAAGATACCCAACCCTAACTCCATTATTGTAATCATATGCATTCTGCAGGGAAGTCTGCAGTGACAAGAATCACAATATTGCAACAAGTACTATTAAGAAGAACATAAATCAAGATAAAGGGGGAAAGTGTTATCTATCTGACAGAATAATAGCCTGCCAAAATGCGAACAGCACTGGCTAACCACTGGAATACAACCAGAGAGGAGCCAATGAAGGTTCAATAGGTAAGATGTTCCATGTTAGTGCTAGAAAGTCTTGTATCATAGCTAATCATGCTCCCACAACAGATGGAAATGAGAGCAAGAACTCTCTGGTTAATTTTAATACATGGGCAGGCTGCTATGAAGGGAGGAGATTCATCAAGCATCCTTGACCCAGGCATTCTAGACCTCTAAATGGCATTCATCACTATTTCAAATTACACCAAAAAGCAAAATATCAAGCAGTGCACACATTACAGGATAACTGTAATATGGTCTGATGGGTGAGCATCCACAGTATGGTATTATGGTTCCATTGCTGACTACTTTAGCTGCCTGTTACAGAGCCAATAAAATTGCTGAAGACTTTTCAGAAGATAGCTCCACATACTCCACATTGGATTCCTGTAATCAAAATGTAATTAAGACAGGCACTGCTCTACCCAGGTTTGATGTCCACAAGAGTAGGCGCAACTGGTATGCCAGCCTAAATTATACAAAGTTGGCATGCCAGCCTAAACCAGTCCAAAACAGATTGAATCTTTATCTCACGTTCCATCTCCTGACTAGAAACACCTATGTTTTATTTGAATTAATTTCCATTTATTCACCCTCATCAGGGCCATTTTTGCTTCAGATGGCAGTTCGTAACACTGATAGCTTCATTCTTTTTAGACAAAAAAGAGAAATAGACATGTTTTGTCAGCATACTGATAAAAGATTCTGAATTTCTGAAAAGTCTCTCTTAGCAGCTCTGTGAATGTTAAATAAGGGGACAGAATCAGTCCCTAAGCAACATCACACACAATGGGCAAGGCACCAAACACATGTTCTCAAATATAACATCTCAAACCAGTTCCCAAAAGACATAAAAATCTTATGAGCATCTAAACAGGGATTGTGACTCTAGATGTTCCTTAGTCCAACAGCTTACCATGAGATTTTTTTGCCTTTTTTAAAACTGAGACAAGGATTTCTCTATCTCATTAAGGGAAAGAAAAAGAAGTTTATAGAACCAACCATATAATCAAGGCAGATTAAAAAACAAATGACAGAACCATGAAAATGTTAGATCATGTTAAGAAAGGTCAAAGATTTGGATCAGAATAATTATTTAACGCTTTTCTTTTTAAATTCTTGAAAAGCACTAATAAAGAAGCTCCCCAACTATTATCATTGCTTACCTCAAAAACAGTCTTTGCTGCATATCCCTGAACATCATCTCTGTTAATTACAATCTGAATTACTCTGTACCACACCTCTTCACTGACATAGTCTCCAGCAATTCGGATCAAATTCAAGATGGTGTCCACATACCAGGTGTAGTCCACTGCATATTTCTCAGCTAGGATTGCAACTTTCAGAACCTGACCAAAAACAAGAAATACTAACTTACAGATGTATTTTAACAACATCTATCCTGGAAAAAGTAAAGCAAAAAGTGAAGTAAAATTAAATAGTAAATAACAGAAAATTTCCGTGTACTCTTGTTTTACCAATATCAGCTAACATAAGCATGTGCCTTATTTGGTACAGTACAATGAAATAGGATATTTTGTATACAGTGAAAATGTTAGATCATGTTAAGAAAGGTCAAAGATTTGGATCAGAATAATTATTTAACGCTTTTCTTTTTAAATTCTTGAAAAGCACTAATAAAGAAGCTCCCCAACTATTATCATTGCTTACCTCAAAAACATTGCTTACCTCAATAAACTGTGGCCTGAACTAGTGAAAGAAGGCTAAAAACACTACAGAAACTTCCTACTTAAATGTAAAGGATATTTTTCCTGTGGTTATTTTGAACACGCAGTTTTAAAAAGCTGGTTCAGAAATGCTGCTATTAGCGTTTAAGATGCAGAGAAATGTGATTTTTTTCTTGATTTGCACAAAAAGGAGACTTGCAACAGTATTAGGACTAATGATTTGAACTAATAGGAAGAACTTGCATATCTGAAGCCGACCATGTACTGATTTCTTCCTCACTGACCATTTATATATAGCCTACACATATTGCTCTGAATAGCTTCAATTACACACAACTGCATCATTTCAAGTCCTGAGGGGGTAAAAGATACCCAACCCTAACTCCCTTGGCTTTACATTCTTACTGGGTGCTTTTCAGATGTCCTCTTTTGTAGTTTTCTTGAGGGAAGTGGCAAATTACTCAAGATAGCCTTTGTCTACATCAGAAACAAGACATTCTCATATTTACACATTCCAAGGCTCAAACTTATGACAATATTGAACCTCCTGCCCACACAGCTCAGGGGAATTGTTCTGAAACTTACAATTTCTTCTCTAATAGAATAATCAGCAGTTTCCAGATAGTTCAACATTTCAGCAACAATCTGCTGGGCATTGCTTCGGTCGCACATGGCATACAGGAGATCCACAGCCCTCTGTCGTACACTCACATCTCTCTCAGTCTACAGGTAACAAAATCACATTCATTAAATCTGCAGAAAACATGGAAATTTTATCTGGATTTTAAAGCATACCATTATAGTAGCCACTCCAGGACACTGACAATGGAGTTTAAATTGTTCCCTAAATTAGTACTGGCCAGATCTGTTTTGACACGGAGAATTATTAAATGTTTCTGGCATCAAAAAGCTATTCAGCTTCAACATCACAATGTGGTCAGAAACAGATATGTAATTATAGGTGGAGCTAAAACTTCCATAGCAATTGTATCTCAGTGGGGAAGCAGAAGCGATAATCATATACTGAAAGCAGCGAAGACATTTTCTATACTTCATACAAAGGTCTCCTCAGAATGAGGGCAGAAAACCTTGGAATCAAACAGCCAGTCTTCTTGCTCACCCTAAAGTCCCTTCTTGGTTGACTAAAAGGCACCCAAGATTACACTGGGGTACACGGGTGCAAGCATTGGGATATAAACTGAAGACAGGAAGGGCAAGCTAGAAAGAGAGATGTAGGGGCAGCAGGATATTTGTACTGTAATTTACTGTTATTGCTTGTTGAGTTTAGTTTTAACAGCTTGTTAACCGCTAAGAATACTGTTTTGGCACTAAGGGACCGCTATATAAATGAAATGTAATTAATTAATAAAGGAACAGGCAAAATAAGGGGAAATTATCAACTATTCTCCATTCTACTCTTTATGAAACAGTTGTCTTATGCCAGGATTATTAATTTTCAATCACTTAATTTGGCGAACCTACTGTTTACCCTTCTTACACCTTCTCCCTCTCTATATTTCTTCATTTTTGTTGCTGATTATTTATTTACTGTTGTACATTGCTCCAAAGGCTGGTTCTAGAGCAGAAGAATGAAACTTGTAGCAACAGGCATATATTTGGACAAAGCAAAAAGGAAGCATTCCCCCATAATCCTCATCCAACCCTCTCCCCATCCAGTAATTTCACTGTCATCTTCACTCCCTCTCTAACTTTCTCAGAGACAAGCATGTCATTTCATATTAATGAGTCCCTTGTAAAATGTATTCGCAAAGGCAAACTATACCAGAGCACAGAGTGCTGTCCTCTGAAGATGCCGGCCACAGAGACTGGTGAAACGTTAGGAAGAACAACCTTCAGAACACGGCCAAAGAGCCCGAAAAACCCACAACAACCAGTCCCTTGTACCATTTTGCTAATTTTTTTCTGTGGCAGAACATGACCTAGGTAGCAATTCAGGCACAGACTTGCTGGTAGCTATTTTATTACTATTTTAGAGTAGTTCCATAAAAGAGCACCATCTTTATAGCTTATTATTATCTGAAAACAACTTGAGAAAGATTGACTGCTTTGTCTTCAAGGGACAGAAAAAAATATGAATGTAATTATCTAAATTTCAGGTAATATACAATACTAACAGTTACCTTCAATGCATTGATTACTGTTTCTATGTGTGTTTTCACGGCCTCGTGTGAAAACTCAGAGCTGGCAAGCGTGCACATGCTTTCCAATGCTAGGTAACGAAGATTAGTTTCCCGGTGCTGCAAGAACTGGCCTAACTGATTACAGGCGCGAACAAGCAGGTTTGGCTCACTAGGCAGAAGAGAGAGTGTGCAAAGGTAAAAAGACAAGACTATTTAGGACGAAAGCGCATTGAAGAGCATTAATAAGTATCAAAAGGTACCTTCACTATAGGAACTTTAAGATTCCAGCTAATACCTTCTGGAGAGTTAGTAATCACACAGCTACATATTGCATAAAGTAATTAAAATTCCATTTAAGAAGCTGGAAGCTTAATCAGTCACTCTGCAACAGAGCTTCTCATAAAGACTGGAAAGGTGAATGTTGTGGTCATGTTCCACAATGGTGGTCACAGTGGCGATCTGATGTTATCTGGATAGACAATTATCTTCCAAGCTGCTCCAGCAATAGCAAATGTTGTAACAGCGTTAACTGCCTTCTACATTGTGCCATGTCTTAGCGTGTCATCCTGAAGCTAGGATAATTAGGCACTGGTGCAGGAAGCAACATAAGCCCTGCTATGTGATCACGTGTTTATCAAATAGCATGGAAACTACCCACTAGGAACAGCAGCTGTACCATTCCAGTAAAATAAAAAAAAACTAGGCCACAACTATACAAATAATAGTCCATAAGTAAAAATCATGTGTATTTTCAAATGTGTAAACAAATATTTTTCTATTTGTGTTTATAGCATCAGTTTTGACTAATGAAGTACATACAAAATTAAATTTTGCAACATACTATGTAGATATTAGTAAAGAGAAAAACACTGTATTTGCTGATCTGAAAGATTTATATTCCAGTTAATTGAAGGGATTAAACTAAATTACATAAATATAAATTATTTTTCCTTTAAAAAAATAAATTCTTTAAAAACTTGGCAGAAACATCACCAAATCTATCTTATTGAATTTGGTCATTATCATTTCCATTTGATTGGATTTTATGCCTAGAGTAGACCTTTGGTCTAGATTGGCGGGATAGAAATCCAAATAAATAAATAAATTAAAAGAGAAAATAAAGGCAACATGACTGCACGAAACACAATCAGTTCGGTCTAAATTTCCAGTCAAGTAAGAACAATTTTGTTCCTGCTTATAATTTAAATCATGCCAATGGGGAAAGAAATACCGTAGTAGTAAAATTATATCATTTGACTCGCTAGCATGGTCTTCAACAATATTTCTCATATGGTGTTGGCTATGCTCACATTGATCTTTCTGTAAGTATATTTTTATGGTCAAAATTACAGTAGCAGAAAATGCTTAGGTCAAGATAAAAGGGTTAAGGGCTGAAATAGGAAGGGCAGCCCAGGTTGTCATCTGTCCAGTGGTGAGGGGGAAATGCACCCATGTGGAGGCAATTTCAGACACATCCATGAATCATTTCAAGGCCATTTTCTCCCTCGACTTTGCAATCTGCACTTGAATTTTGCCACCCAAAGCTGCTCTTTGGAGTTCAGCCAGACTCAGGTGGGTCCTGTCACATTACTGTTTTCAGTTCTGCTGACAGTCATACGTTTTAGCATTGTTCAGAAGTGAACAATTGTAGAAGCTGCAAACTTACTTGCTAGTCCCTACTAGTGCAAACCCATTAAACCAATTAAGTCAATACTTACATAAGCCCACTGATTCATTGGATCTACTCTCGCTGGAGCTAGCAATTCAATTTAAGCCAACATTTCTAACAATATATTTTATTTAGTAGAGAGAGAAAAATCAGTAGCACAGGTACTCAAGTTACAGGACTCAAAGGCAGTACAGTATATATCTCCCCAGCAGAAAAAGAATTCCTGTAATTATCAGTCTTTGTTTTTCACTCTGGGGTTGTTCGAACACTGGCAGACTGATTTTGCATTATTATAGGTTGCACTATCTGCCTACAAGTGGCATACTTTTAAAAAATCAATTTGTGTATCAACACAGAGGTGCACAACTCAAACTGTTATTGTCAGTTACACATTATGACTGGTAGCCGTACCTGTCATGATGGATAATTAAACTAATTGCTTCAAACAGCACTGCATTCTTTGCATTTGAGTGCTGCACTTTCTTGGATTTGGGAGGTTCTTGAGCTTTGTTAAGAATAGTTTCCAGACACTCAGTGAGACGTCCTCGTGCCGAAGGGTCTTCTGGGACAAAGAAAATGGTTAGTCCAATTCACAGGGCAATTCTGACAGCCCTTACTATCAGATGACATCGGATGGTACCATTTTTTCAGTTTCAAAAAATTGCAAATGCACACGCTTATGTGTTGCTACTCCAAACTTATCTGGGTTTTTTTCCTATCACTTCAAATGAAGTGATAAGTTCAATTTTATATTGCATTCTATTTATTGTATTGTGGTGCTTCGACACAAAGAAGCAGCATTATAGAACCTTTGCTATGAAAGAGCTAAGTCTCAAACATGCAGACATAGTTCAGTTGATAAAACATGTAGATCTCTGGATGTCCTTGTACTGCAAGTTCCTAAACCCTGGTCAGCATAGCTAATGATAGAGGGTGGTAGGATTTACAATCCAGAAGTATCTAAAGGAGCTACCATATTTTTCGCTCCATAAGACGCACCAAATTTTTAGGAGAAGAAAACAGGAAAAAATAATCTGTTTTCATCACTCCATAAGACGCACAGACTTTCTACACACACCCCCTGTTTTGTGGAAAAAAGGTGCGTCTTATAGTGCGAAAAATACGGTATATGTTTCCCCATCCCTGACTCAGAGGCTTAGTCAATTATCACAATAAGAGGCCTTAATCTTCTGGCAGGGCTTCAAACAAAACAAATCAGGGGAAGGGAGTGAGCTGGAGTGAGGTAAATAAGGTCTCTAGGAGGTCTCATATATCATTTGGTGTGATCCTCACATCCAAATGGCCATACAAACCACAAATAGCCCTATTTGGGCTGCTTTTTAAAGTGTTAGGTATATGTATTATGAGTAACCTTTAATAAAAGTATATAAGAGAATACATTTCTCTTGAAGGTCTGGGTTGAGAGCCTGCCTCAGCCACATACTTAATACACAAATATAGTTCTTTCCCTTGTCTGAAAGGGCCTGTCGAGAAAGTGGATTTGACTACAGACAGTTTCTTAACTTTCTCTTTAAGACAAGAGAAACAAAAGATTTTTTTTAAAAAATATAACTGATACAGTGCATTTTTGCTATTCTAATTGAGAGTTTTTTTTAAAAAAATCACCTCCTTTGCCCCTCAATCAAGCCACCTTACAATATTGCCTGATCAAATAAAGGAAAGCTTTTGGCTCATTCCCAGATATGGCATGCACTGGAACAGACCAAAACAGAGTAATCCTACCTGTACCAAAAAAAGTAGAAGCCCCTGAGAAGGACCAGAAAAAATGACCATTATCTTTAAGAGTGAACCAGCCTGTCCCCGCAGTGGAACAAACACTGGCCTAAATGTCCACTTAGTCAGCATCTAAAACTGTATTTTCATCTCTCCTTGTTTTGGAAAGTTCAGAACTGCTTTCACAAATTGCTTCCCATCTAAGCATTTGTAGAGTCTGCTTATATTGAATTTAAATGTGGTACACAACATCAAATTAATTCAAATTACAGGTTATGTCAGGACTTTGAAAAGGTGGATTTCACTGCAACAACATGGCAAAAGGACCTTGTGACAATAATCTTTGTGCAGATCTGGTTTCAGGTGGAGGGGGCTTCCACATTGAAGCAGATACTAATTCTTCCAATCTGCTTTCTGAGACCAAGCAAAAAGTGGGGAGGAATTCTGAAATGTTGGAGCAGTCCATTATGCTTAACAAAATAACCCAACAGACACATTAGGTGCACACAAGTTCTTTCCAAGTTAAGACTTGCTTTCATTTGTGTTTCAGGGGGGAAATCTTTTTCAAACTAATATTGCTATAAAATCTTTGGATAAGATCACAGTTGATTTTCTTTCACCGCTCTAGGTGTTAGAAAAATGTTTTGCATCTGCAAAAAAGTAATGACTGTTTTGATCACCAGTGCAGTGCAGTCTTTAATCAGAGAGGTGCTGTTTTAGCACAAACAGCTTTTCCTGCTCTGCAACAAAGCCTGAAATCAACATAATGGATTGCAGTACTTTACCTGGGGGTGGGTAGCACTGTAGTAGCCTAAGAAGCTTCACAGACAACCATGGGGCGGGAACAAAGTAATAGGTATAATCTTGGAGATCCGTTGATGCAGATGTCACAATCTATTAAAACAACAAAAATTATCTTTTACTCTGCTGTGGCACTTTGTTAAATTTAGGCAATCTCTAACAGATTCTAAACATTGGATACATTTAAGGGCACAGGCAGACAAAAAACAAAAACAGAAATCACATTATTAAAAGGTTTTGGCCTACAATGAACTGAACAGGCAAGACATGAACATATGGATAAAGCAGAGAGGTTGTCAAGAGTTTAGAGACACGCAAGCAGCCATCAAAAGAGAAGAAGGAGAGCAAAACACTCTGTAGATACATAAAAATCAGATGGACTTGACAACTCCAGGTACTAGTTCACACAACACTAAAACTAAAGAATAAACCAGAAATAAATACACAAGGAGATAGTTTATCTCTGGTATTTATATTTGATGTTATTGTGAATTCCTACTTTAGGAGACAGCAATATAAGTGGAGAACCTGACCAGCTCATGGAAGAAAATGAATGCCAGTCACTTTGAGAACAGACTAACCACTCAAAGCAGGAGGTTCTACAGCAAGAACTTCCCATCACTGCTTTATGCAGTCAGTATGTCTTCTTTGAGAAGTAACAAATAAGTGGCTGATGCAGAAGGCAAGACTGACTCAAGAAGGTCGCTTTTGTTCTGCCAAAGATAAAGACATATACAGGTCAGGATGGGAACACTGCAATGGGGAAAAGGACCAAACATGATAGAGAGAAGCAAAGTTGTGCAGTTTTAGAGGCAAGAGACAAAAAAATTTAGAGTGACATGGTTTTAGACCGGGAGCCAATATGATGTATTCACAAACACAGCTGTATCAAACCAGCCTGCAATATTTCAATATGCCTTTTGTACTTTCCATTTAGGAACAGTGAATTCTTGATTACATCATGTTTTTCTGGAGATAGACAAAGGAAAGGCTCTGCTTGGGAGTGAAAGAGAATTCAAATATTCTTCACATAATAAGTTTTAATTCAAATTCAAGCAAAATTCAGAGAAGGAAACAAGCAAGAATTAGAAAAAAAGGACACAGGAGAACACAACCAGAGACACTGAAATTTTTTTTCATGTTTCAAAAAACATGTTTAAAAAGCAATTTAAAAGTTACTAATGTGTCACACATCATAGAGTATCATGTAACAAATAATGCTTAAAAACTTACTCCCTTCCTCCTTTGATGTTTTAACTTTTTTATAATAATGTTTCAAAATTGCTTGAGCTCCATAAAGTGAGTGCGTGCATGCCCTCACATACAGCTAAAAGTAAACAAATGATTGTCTGAAGTCCATAACAGTTACACTATTCAAGAGATCTGAGAGAACACGTGTTGTTTGTCATCATTCAGCTGCATCATCTGTGAAACTGTCAGAAAGGATTTACACTTCTGTCTCAGTTTCCTGATTTATATAACTGCGCATTTTAACTTTGTTTCAGCCTAGGGTTACTCCAGCGCTTGTGTTCCACCAACAAATATTACTTACCCTGCTGAGCCTGGAGACAGCCAAAGATACTGAGGTTTTAAATTCATCTGGATTCTTTTGGGCCAGCGTGGTGATCAAGCTAGTAGCAGCTGTAACCACACCCTAGAAGATAAGATTACAGTTCCATTCAAATTACTAAACACATTTATTACATACAAATGTCAACACATAGTATATCCTTTATGGCACAATTGCCTCTTTTTGCACTCCAATTTATATAAAAAAGGGTAATCAATTATGAGTATTTTGCCTAGTCACTTTCCTCATAAATATCCCAATTATATTGCCATATACCACTATGAGCACCAGAATACTTTGTCCAAAAGCATAATAGACATGCCTTCCAATTGGTTGCAGTAAAGAACAAGAATGTGAGGTAATGTAATACACACACACATGTGCCATGGAGGTGCAATAGGCAACAGCACAACAATTGCTTTGGTAGCATTTCAATTCCATTTTGTCTTCAATTTTGCTGCCCTGTTTCACTCTTATTAGATCTCTTGGGTTTCAAGCAGGATTCTTTCCTAGTCCTTTCCAAGGCTTACTTGATGGCGTTGGGTATGGCTACAGTGCCTTACAACTGCAAGCACGATCTGTATACAAGATCTATCACATGATTTTCAGGTTGCTGAGGTATTTGGAAGGGCATACCTTGATATGAGATCAGAACAGTCATGGGGAGATGAATTAGGACAACTGCTGTATACATGTGACCAAAAAATGCTTTCCACTACAGGAAAATGAACAGATCAGAAAGTAAAATATTTAAATATAGGAGAAAAGACAACAAATTTTGGTTCACTCCACTCTTATCCTCACAACCATAAAACAGAAATTACCGTATGTGAGATCCTATTTACAATTTAATTTGGACTTCAGGAATAGAAGACAATTAAGTATTCTGCTCTTCCTCTGTTCCAAAAATAGTGACCATTTTGCATTGGCAATAGTATTGATGGTTTAAGATATTATGTTGTTACCGGATATCAGACCAAAATAAAAATAAAAATAAAAACGACAAAATGTTATGGATAGACATGGGCACAAGTCATGAAAATGCTGATTCATTTTGTTTCCTGATTTATTAAGGTCAACAAATCATGAATTACTAATTTATGGATTTTTCTCACAAATTGAGGAACTGATTCATTGATTAATTTTTACTTAAATCCCTACAAAATAACCCCACAAGCACCTAGAGACATCAAATTCATAGGGAAGATTCCAGTGAATTACTTACATGCCCTGAAAGTTTGAGGTTTGGTGAAGTTTGGGTTTCAGATGTCCAAGTTATGCACCCACAAGAAGGCCCCCACAGGAAAGTTCCCGCCAGGCACCTAGAGACACCAACATCACATAGGAAAGTTCTCGCCAGGCACCTAGAGACACCAGCATCACGGAGAAGCTTCTACTGACTCTCCTCTACAGTCCCTCCAAGTTTGGTGAAGTTTGGGTTTCAGACATCCAAGTTATATGCCCACAAAGTGGGTCCCTCCAGGAAAGTGCCCTTTAGTAGTAGGCCTAGGGAAACCCAATCTTCACCTGACTTGGAGGGATTGTAGAGAAGAATCAATAGAAGCTTGTATGTGTATTTTGGTGTCTCTAGGTGCCTGGGGGGAACTTTTCTGGGGGAAGCCCTCTTTGTGGGTGGACATCTGAAAACCCAATCTTCACCAAACCTGGATAGATTGTAGAGGAGAGTCAGAAGAAATTTTGGTATCTCCAGGTGCCCAGAGAGGCATCTTATAGCCAAATAAATTGACAAATCACTAAAAATTCATTGACTCATATTCCTTGGGGGCACGGATTCATACAAATACAATTTAACAAATTAGTGATTTTGGAACAAATTTGGTGATTCATTGTTTAAATAAATGCCCATGGCACTTTAAAGACTAACTGCTATATTTTAATGTGAGCTTTCATGGACAAGTCCAGTACAGGATGTAATACTGTGAGACAATTTTCTATAACATTGCATTTTATTTGGTAAGGTCCAGTGCATATAATGATCATCTATTTTCTCCAATTCAAATCATCCATTTTCATGTACAGTTCTATATGGTAAAGTATAGGAGGCCATCTCATTTCTCTCATTTGTAGGATACTATATACTTCCTTATCTAGTTCTGTTCATACTGCGGAACAGGGATGGTGATATAATGGAGGGAAATGATTTTTTAAAAAAATTCATGTTACTTTATGTAGTTGAAGGCCCATTTTTGCACCATACTTAAAGATTTTATTTAATAAGACTAAAAAGAGAGAGAGAAGACCAATGAAATTCCTTCCCTAGATTAATATCATGCTTGAAGTAAACCAAAATATAAATTCAAGATCTTTTACTATTAATTTTTCCCCTGTCCCTGAGCAAATCTTATTAATTTTTAAGTTCTTAATTACTAAACCTTACACATGACAAAATATAACTCGCTCTGTCTTTAGGTGATTCACTCAAATATTAGTCAAATTCACTAATACTTGGGGGGGATATTACTACTAACCACACTCGTCTCAGTCTCTTGCATAAAAGCACAAAGCAAATGGTTTAGAAATACTCTTCTTTAACAAAGATTATAAGAGCCAGCTTCTGGCATGCATGCACATGCATATGCGCACACACAGAGTTTTGCTATAAGAAATGTCTGCTGAAATCTCTGATTAGTCATTAGACTGAGAGATTTCAGATAAATCACCTTTCAGCCATAATTGGTGGCCAATAAAGCCACAGGTAGTTATTTATGTCACAGAACTGTTGAGAAACAATAATTTCTTCTTACCAACAAAAGCTAAACTTTTTATGAACTGATATAAATATGTACTCTTATATATACTAACAGCAGTGGTCTAGACTAGGTATAAAGGGAGGCTGGCTCAGATTCAATTTCGTGTTATGGTTCCAGAGGAACCAGTACTTCACTAGGTGAGATACAAAAAACAGAAACCTAGCCCCTTGCAACTTACTCACTGAGGATGCCTGTTAGCCCCCTTGCTGATCCCCCTACGCTCCCTCCATTCAGTCCGTCTCTTTCGGACTGGGAAAAAGATTCCTGAGACATGGTCTACTTTTATTGCTATTATTCAGGTTTTCTTTTTTTAAAAGAAGGAACTGGATAAACGTCAAGATATTTTTATTATTATTCACAACAAAATAAACCACAATAACGTATTAAATAATAACCACATAAACATAAAGGGAGGCTATACAAATATAAACTATATCAGTCCATTAAACTAAAAAAAACATTACTTTGGAATTCACTCATCTCTAACACTGATGATCCGCCCGCTACCGGCCGCCATCTTTTCCTTTAAACCTATATATTCCTTTAAACCTATATATCCAGAGTGAGATATCTGGATATCTACAAATATAAACTATATCAGTCCATTAAATTAAAAAAAAGATTACTTTGGAATTCACTCATATCTAACACTGATGCATCTTCATCCCAAAGTGTTCGAGTGACACGTCACACTTTTGGACTTGACCTCTGGCACACATGGCAAAAACACTGTCTATCATGATTCAAAGTTATTAAATTCTGAACTTACTAAATTAAATATGTACACTATAAAGGAGAAATTCCAGTTAGGAGGCAAGTTCAACTGAGCTTACCAGATGCTGGTCATTGAGAAGATGTACAACTCTTGATGTCCAGTCTCCCATAGGAACCAGATCAGGAGAGGTTCGGTACAATCGTAGCAAGCAAAGAGCTGCACTCTGCTTCACGCTGTCCATGGTATCTCTGCAAAAGAAAGGGAAATCTGCCAGTGGATCTCAAACAGCCAACGTTAATCTGAACTTGCAAATGAATGAGGAACTCAGATGATAATAGGGGGAATGAACAGTGATGGGGCTTCCCTTGGCTCAACATCATTCAATTTGGTGCCTTCCAGATGTCTCAGACTGTAAGGCCTTTAGGAACAATGGGGATGCTGCCTGTGGATGATAGGGACATCATCCCATTACAGTGGGAGCTGTGGTTCAAGACACCTGGAGAGCATTACATAGAGGAAAACTACCTTAGTTTGTCCCAAGTCTTGGGGCTCTTTAGCTGGTGTGTTTAAAGAGTGCTTAATGCATAGGCTGAGGTTAGAAAAGGTCTAAGTGAAACGATTATCTTCTGTTAAAAATTACTTTGCAACTTGAAATGCCTCAAGTCTTTATTCAGTTCAGCAACTGAGATAAAGGGGAAATAAAAATCTGGCTTCAATGGAAGACTGTGAAAGTCATTTGCAACCAGAGGTAAAAACAAAAAAGCAGAAGTACCTGTGGGATCCATGAGTAAAAATAAAGTTAGGCAATATCTTTATTAGAACTACTATCGCAAATATGGCAAGCTTTCTCCATAACTCTTCATCAGGCTACATGGTAAGAAAACCCAGAACTGGGAGAGGGGAAAAGGGCAGGGGAGGAAGCATTTTATAGATGTTGTGGTTTTTGGCTCTTCAATTGGATTAAAATACTAATAATGAAAAACATGTTTTTTATGAATACCAAGATGGAAATTGGAGGCTTGAAGAATGATTATTACATGCTTTGATATCAGGTATAAGCCTGACAGGACCACGTGATAAGCCTCCCCTGACCTTCATGAGCCAATCCACCCCTTTGACATGTTTACTGATTTCTAATACATTCTCTCTAACTATAACAATATATATGTATACGGTTTGCTATAATAGTATATCGGATGGAAAGGAAATTGGATCAGTTTAGAAGCCCCAAGAGACTGTTCTTATGAATGAAAAATAAACTCTATAAACATGAGCATTTTGTCTCAAGAGAATGACAGTTATGTGTCAAATCCACTCATCTATAAAGTAGCATACAACATTACTTTACATTCCTCAGAGATAGTTTCTAGAGCACAGCAGGACTGGTCCATGTTTGCTCTCATCCCTGCTTACATTCATAATGAAGGAGCCGCATGTGCTTCAGAAGTACTGTTCAATCTGCAACCGTATCTACTCAAAAAAGGATTGTCACCTTGGCAACACATATAACTGAATACACATGCACACTATTCAATTCATATATTATTACTTTCAGCTCAAGGACATTTGACAAGATCACTCTATGTATAGAGCACATATATCTGCACTCCATGTGTCTGAAGAAGTGACCTCTGACCCATGAAAGCCCACACTGAAATAGTCTTTAAAACACCACAATTCTCTCTTTATTTCTCCCTTTAATTTGTCTGTGGAATCTTAACCTATGAGAAGCATATCCTTACACTAGGCTAGCCCAATTTTTAAAAAGAGGGAATATGCTACCGTTTTTTTTTTTGTTTGTTTTTTGTTTTGCTCCATAAGACGTACCAAATTTTTTGGAGAAGAAAACAGGAAAATAAAAATCTTATGGAACACACCCTAGGACCCTTTGGAGGCTCCCCCTGCTCCCCCCGGGGACCAGAGAGGGCGAAATCACCACCTTCAGGGACTCTTCTGAAGTTTCCCAAGCCTAAAGAATCCCAGAAAGTGGTGATTTCGCCCCCTCAGACCCCGGGGTAAGCCTCCAAAGGATCCTGGAATACAACCTAGGACCCTTTGGAGACTCACCGTGCCCCCCGCCGGG